GCACAGTAAACTGTTGTTTAATGAATCAGTGAATGAAACAAAAGGGTCAGGGCTATTCCTGGAAGAGGTATTCCAGGAAAAAAACAAAACCACGTAAAAAGCAATAGTGCAGGGGCTGGTGGTGGGACTCATTGAGGCGCTATGATGCCAAAGGAAGGCGGGTTAGATATGGACGACGTAGGAGGTGGAAACTGACTTTTGTAAAAGGGGTAAGTGAAATGTGCTCAGAGAACAAATCATTTAAACAGCAAACCCACAAATAAATGGTGTCTCTGGAGGGTGGGGGCTTCCTGAACTCAGAGAAGTTTCTAATATTAGGTTTTGTGTGACCAAGAATAGAAAGTGGTCTCTGAGGACTTGGAGCAGCACTGGCTGCCACGCCCCCTGGAGCGCTGGCTCCCACACTGGGATGCCCTCCATCACATCCTGCGGGGCTTGTGCTCCCCAGGGAGTGAGAAAGCTCCACATTCGTGCCTACAGGGATGTTGCTACTGGTTCTCCATCTCCTTCAAAGCAGGACTGCAAAGGGGCATGACTGGTATCAGGGAATACAAATTATAAGATTTTAAAAGAGTTCATTTTTCAGCTTCTGCTTTAAAATCATGCAGATTAAATGAACATCCAAGCAGTCACTGGAGTCCCCAGCTGAGTTACTTTGAGTACCGAAGGTTACTGAGGAATCTTACGGCCCTGTGGATCCGAGCTACCTATGGAGACTACAGTAAGTGACTAGGAGAAATGAATTTCTCTCTTCTCAGGTTTGGTTTCAATTTGCTTCAGCTCTCTAAGGTGCAGCTACCCCAGCAAATAGATAAACTACTGATGGCTTTGATGTAGCGTCTCTGATCGGGTTTAATCATTTACATTCTAGAAGTTGTTAAAAAGGAATGTTTCTCTAAAAAGAGGTCAGCACCAATGACGAATGAGTGATGCTACCTTGCTAAAATAGTCTCCAGATTTAGATAAAAGCTGATTCTTTGAAAAAGATCATCTATCTACAACAAATGGACACTTTCTCTCAGCTGGAAAAAGAGATGGACGACACAGCCCTCTTTATCCCTTGAGTATCTTATCTTTGGGGATTATACTCCATGCTCCCATGTGTGGACATCACCCTGTATTCTCTTAGCTCCTTTTGTTGAACTTCACATGTTGGGTCCACCTAGTCCCAATCGAAATTCTTTAAATGAGAATTCCTTCAGCTTTTTAGCACCCATATAAAAAGGAAGCATGGACCATTTCTATGTCACTAATGTGGTGAATCAAATGAGAAGTAGAAAATGTGTTTCCTAACTATTTATGGAATCTTTACTTGGTGACAGGCACATTAGAACACATGCATTGTCTCATTTAATTTACACAACAGGCATGGGAGGTAGATCCCTCGGTTACTTCTCTTCTGCAGTTGAGGAAACAAAATCGTGCAGAGGTTATGTGACTTGCCCATTCACACAGCTAGTGAGGGTGGAGCCAGAATTTAAACTGATTTTTCTGACACCAAAACCTGTGCACTCCATCATGAGGGACTGCTGTACCTCTACACCTGGCATTGTGGGGAAACACCACCTGTCTTTGATAGTTAAGAAGAATAAAGAGAGGCCTGATTTTGATCTTTAGACCTTCTCACTTGCTCCTTCCTACCTGTTCTCTGTATTGCAGGCACTGGGTACATAGACAACGTGGCCCTGATTTCAGCCCGCCCCATCTCGGGAGCCCCAGCGCCCTGGGTTGAGCAATGTGTGTGCCCTGTTGGGTACAAGGGGCAGTTCTGCCAGGATTGTGCTTCTGGCTACAAAAGAGATTCAGCCAGACTGGGACCTTTTGGCACCTGTGTTCCATGTAACTGCCAAGGGGGAGGGACCTGCGATCCTGATACAGGTAAGTGCAGTGACACCTGGACCAGGTGGCTGGGGGTGCAGCCAGGTGACTGGGGTCTCCGTGGAAGAGACAGAGCTGTGTAAGAAAGACTGTGCCTGAGCTCATTACAGAGATGGGAAAGGATTAAGGAAAGGAGGGCTGGAGTCGGGGAAGATGGGCATGGCGCTGTGTTTCACTCAATCCTTGTCATTATGGAAATGTCCCAAGGTTGTGGGAAAGGTGCTAGGTTACAGGAAATGGCTGTCATGATTCAGTGCTGGATGGGGGAGTCGGTGTCCCGTTGCAAGAATTGTATGGGGAGATCAAAGGCCGTGTCAGGGCCTGGGTGAACGTGCTGACAAACGGTGTCAGGCCACAGGGGCAGGGGGTGCAGTGCTAAGCTGTGGTTAGTAAAGGAAGTGTGTGTCTACCGACCATGGGAGAGTGAGGGTGAGAGTCAGGTTCGTGGCCATGTTTAGAGTTGGTAGGAGGGCAGAGGTGAATGCTGGTGCTCAGACACTGTGAAGAAAGTTCAGGAAGGAAGGCTTTGAGTTTCCCAGCTCTGACCCCCACACATCATCCAGATTACAGGAAGTGGCGAGTTTTACCCTGCTCTTTCTCTGCCCCTCCCTCCATTCTTTTCTGCCTCCCAGGAGATTGTTACTCAGGGGATGAAAACCCTGACATCCAGTGTGCCGACTGCCCCATTGGTTTCTACAATGACCCCCGCGACCCCCGCAGCTGCAAGCCATGCCCCTGTCGCAATGGGTTCAGCTGCTCCGTGATGCCTGAGACAGAGGACGTGGTGTGCAATAACTGCCCCCTCGGGGTCACTGGTAAGGCCAGCGCCTGCGTCACCCTGTCCTCAGGCCCTGAATTTGAGTACCTAGCTTCTGCTCCAAGGAGTTTCTAGGGAATTAGAATTCCTTGGGGTTAATCTAAGTGGGCTCATTCTAAAGATAAGGCTATTTTGATGCCCTAGGGGTGAAATGGATTGAGGACAGGCAGAGTATGTAGGGAGGAAACATCTAAAGCTGTTTTAGGAGGCTTGGAATTAGGAGATGAAGTTTTCAGATAAAATACATGGTTTAACTCAGTTTTTTTTAAACGAACCAAGGTAAGGAAGGAAAACTTAGTGACCTTTGAAATGTCCCATCTCTCTGCTAGTCAGTCTAAAGAAGAGTTCATTCTTCAGCAGCAGCTTTGGGCGTGTTGCTCCAAACCTGACTTTTCCCCAACTATCTCACTGACTGGCAGGAAGCCTCCACTTGGTGCTGCTGTGTCCTTAAACCTGTGAGCCCGTGGAGACAAGAGCTACCCGCCTTGCCCTGGGCGCCTGCTCCTGAGACTACTATTCTGGGATTCAAGGTGGAAGCCCTTCTGGGCAGCCACTTGGACTTTCGGCCTCTGGGTCTGGTCTTGCTGCCCACAGGTGACCACTGGGCTTGGCCATTTGTTCCTTCCAGGTGCCCGCTGCGAGCTCTGTGCCGATGGCTACTTTGGGGACCCCTTTGGGGAGCGGGGCCCAGTGAGGCCTTGTCAGCCCTGTCAGTGCAACAACAACGTGGACCCAAGAGTCACCGGGAACTGTGACCGTCTGACAGGCAGATGTCTCAAGTGCATCCACAACACAGCCGGTGTCCACTGTGACCAGTGCAAAGCAGGCTACTTTGGGGACCCCTTGGCTCCCAATCCAGGGGACAAGTGTCGAGGTAGGACTGCGTGGTCAGGGTGTGTGTGTGTGTGTGTACACGTAAGCTTGCTGGTGTGCACACATGTAAGAACATACAACAGCAGTTACTATCCTGATGCTGCTTTGGTTTCTCTAACCAGCTGGCCCATAAACAGCCCAGACCTTTCACCTGTCAAAGGCCTTGAGACCACTTTCCCCTGTCGCAGGGTTGGAAGGCAGAGCCTGAGGAGGTAGAATGGGTTAAAGCTGGGTGGGAGAAGTGGAAAAGGTCAGGTTTACATTCTTAAGTGGAAGAGGAGATAAAATGGGGCCACTTCCTGTGCCCAGTCCCCAGGCTGGTCGGCCAGGAAGTGGCGCCACACCTGTTACAAGAGAGTCATAAATGACTGGATACAAAGCCTGAGCAAACGGCGGCGGGGAGGGGAGTGGGCTGGAAAGCAGTTTAAGAGACCCTCTCAGGAAGTCAGCGTAATTGATGTATGGAAAGGTAACCATCAGAAAGTCTCTTAAAGAGACTCGGCTTCAAAGCAGCGGCTATCATGTAACATTCCTAGGGCCGCTCCAGATCAAAGCACAAATGTGCGGAGAGGTCCTCTTGCTCAGCCTTTCTTTCAAACCTCTGCACAGGTTCTACTCAAGAGGCAAGTTTAGCTCTAGGGAGCTGGCCTGCCCCACAGACATAACGCCTTATTCGCAAGGGTCCCTGGCCAGCCTGGTGCCCAGAACTCAGGAGCTCGTTTATTATAAGGTCCAGAGTGGCTCTGGAGACCCAGATTGGAGGACCCCTGGTTCCCCAGGAGGTCTGCAGGGAGCCCAGAGCCTTCCATTCACACCAGAGCCGCCACCCCAGGAAATGCCTGAGGACCTCCATGCAACCTGGGGCTTCTACCCAGGGGCATGAATCTCATGTGCCCAGACCCCAACCTGTGGGTTTGCTGTGATGTGCAAGAAAGTACCCCAACATAGGAGGCGCCCACATGACACTGGCACTGCTGAGTTCAGGTTCAGTTTTTTAACATACCTTGTGTTATGCTGATTATACCAGTTGATCTCTCTGAGCTTGTTTCCTCATTGGATGAATAATATTGAATGCAACGTGGCTGCAAAGGTAAAAGAGCATATGAGAAAGTACACTATATACTATGAATTCCAGCTATAAGGTCCTATTAATAGAGATTTCACTGGTTGTTAGGCTGTACATTTGTTTCTTCACTCAACTATCTTCTGTCAAGCACCTACCAGGTACCCAATGTGAGGCTTGATACTAAGGTTATAAGAATGAAAGACACACAAGAAAGACACACAAATATGTAAGTGACGACAGTATGCTTACTTATGTGATCACATTACTACATGCTGAGCGTTTTGTGAGCACCAAAGATAGAGCAACCAGAGGATTTCTTAACTCCATTACAGCAATGTCTCACCTACTGTTATATCCTCAGCTCCTAGAACATAACATGGCGTGTACTAGGTGCTCAATGAATTTGACTGAATGAATAAAGGCATTGCTTTCTTACTGCATTTCCTACCTCTGAGGTAGCAGGGCTGAAGGAAAAGAGCATTGGCTCTTTCCAAGTTCTCATTCCAGCTGGCCATTTACTTGCTCTGTGACCTTGGACAAGTTACTTAACCTCTCTGAGCTCATCTTCCTCCCCTGTAAAATAGAGGGAGATGTCCACACCTGGCACATAATAGGACCAGAAGAAATGTTATTCACCTTGTGAGCAAAGCCAGAGTGCCTGCTGACTAGCCAACAGGCTTCCAATTTTACAGGAGGAAAAACAAGGCCAACCAAAAGGATGGACAGCTGTAATATTTCAATATTTCTTCACACACACACACACACACACACACACACACACACACACACACACCCCAAACAAGCTTGCCAGATGAGTCCTAAACCCGATATGTATTAAGAATGTGCTTGGAGGCATAGCCAAGAGATGAATCTAACGATCTAATGCAGTATGAATTGATGACACAACATGAAGGGTGACTTGATCTCCCTTTTATTTTGCTACACCTCCAGTTTGTGGAATTAGCTTGATATGAATGCTTCCTATTTGTCTGTCTTTTGTCTCTAGCTTGCAACTGTAACCCAGCGGGCTCCGAGCCTGTGGAGTGTCGGAGTGATGGCAGCTGCATTTGCAAGCCCGGGTTTGATGGCCTCAACTGTGAGCACGCAGCATTAACCAGCTGTCCAGCTTGCTATGATCAAGTGAAGACTCAGGTGAGCCTGCTAACCAACCCTCACCCCCACGAGTAAAAACCCCAAGAGTCTATTAGGTGGTGCTGTCACAGATCTAGGACCCTCCTAGTCTCCTGGGGATGGGGGCGAGGATGACTATTTTTTTCTTTAAAAATTGCTATATTTAAGGGCTGGCTGAGTGGCTCAGTTGGTTAAGAGCTCGCTCAAGAGTTTGAGCTCTGAGCAACAGCGGTTCGAGTCCTGGCCCAAGCTGAGCAGCTGCTGAGCTGCCAACAGGTGGCAGGATGGCTCAGCTAAAAAAAATTAAAATTAAAATTAAAATTTAAAAAAATTGCTATATTTAAAAAATTCTGTATCCCAGTAATAATACTTCAGATATATGTTCTTATATATACAATTTTCAAAACCCCCTTTGCAGAAATTGTCCCATTTGGTACTCATGATAACTTAGTCAAGTTGAGGAGAAGAAAAAAGCATTCTGACCTCAGTTGTCACTGAGCAAACAAAGTCTCAAGAAATTTGCAATTTTTAAAGTCGCATGGCCAGGTGGAACCGAAAATCCCCCCCACCCCCCGCCCCGTGTCCCCTGACTCTGAGTTCAGTGCTCTTTCCACTATAATATGCCACTTTCTAGGATGTTTTTCCAAGCGATGTTCTAGTGCAACAAATGAAAAAAACAAACATACGAAAGATAGGAGGAGTCCAGCCACTGTCCAGGCTATCGAACCAGGAATGGCCTCTGGAAATTTCTCATTCAGATTCCAGAGAAGAATGAAATTGATGTTGTTGTTAATTATTAAATATTACTTTGCTGGGGTGAGGCGTGGGGGAAGAAAGGGCCCAAACAGAACCCCAAATGTAGGACAAATGCAACCTATTTTTAAAATGTATCTAACCAGTCCTCTATGGCACTTGCTTTGTTCTAGGCACTGTTCTAAGCACTGTACACATATTAACTCACGTAGTCCAAGTCACAGCTCTATGAGATATTATTATTATCCCCATCTTATGGATAAAGGAAGTGACATGCCCAAGGTCACACAGCTCAAAGCGCTGGGACGCAAACAGAGAGCCTAGGCTCTAGAGTCTGAACTACCATGACATGCCAAGCATTTCTGGGCTTTTAGTCATTATCCCTGGGAACCTGGTGCTCAGCCGTCATCTCTGTTCTGTGCGGTTTCAGATGGGTCCGTTTGTGCAGCAGCTCCGGAGCCTGGAGGCTCTGCTTTCAAAGGCTCAGGAAGGTGGCGGAGGGGCACCCAACGCAGAGCTGGAAGGCAGGATGCAGCAGGCTGAGCAGGCCCTGCAGGACATCCTGAGAGAAGCCCAGATCTCAGAAGGTGATGACGGCCAGCCTCCCTTCGGACGGGAGAGAATTCGTAGTCCTAGAAAGCACTGCCACACTAGGTCATAGACTCTTCTGTGGGTATCCGTTCAGCAGGTGTCTCTGCCCAGCCCTTGCAGAGGGGGAAGGACTCTCTGTGACTTTCTCCTGGGACCTGAATGGTGGTGATAAAAGACCAATTGCATGCATTCATTTATTGGGCTTTCACCATTTTGACATAAGACAGTCAAACTCATTTTTTCAGCCCTCTGTGACATTTGATTACTAAACTGACTTTGAAAGATCTTATCTTCCCTTTCCTTGTTGGTGTTCAGGTGCAATGAGATCACTTAATCTCCAGTTGGCCAAGGCAAAGAGCCAAGAGAATAGCTACCGGAACCGCCTGGATGACCTCAAGTTGGCGGTGGAGAGAATTCAGGCCCTGGGTGGTCAGTATCAGAACCGAGTTCAGGATGCTCGCAGGCTCGTGACTCAGATGCGCCTGAGCCTGGAGGAAAGCCAGTCTTCCCTACGGAACACGGTAGGTGGTGCTGGGTTAGGGTCCTGAGACTTCATGCTGTTTTGGGAGACCCACCTGTAGATATCACTGGCTCACTGGCTGTTTCTCAGGTTTTCTGGGTCATCTGGCAGGTAGTTGGACTTTTCTCCCTTGATGCAGTCATGACTCATTTTGTACTCTAGCTTCCCACAGTTTCCCACCCGACTGCTTCATGCTCTTCTCCCGAATTCATCTCTTGCTCACCATATCCTCATCTTGACCCTGTCTCTTCTCCCTTGTTTCTGTATGTCTTCTATCTGGTTAGCTCCCAGAGGGCAGAATTTAATTCTGTTCATCTTTACACTCTCAGCCCATAGCCCAGTGTATGGCTGTGATAAATGTTTGCTGCATGAATGAATGAATAAAGGAGCAAAAGAACAAATGAAAAGGAAAGAAGGAAAAAGGAAGGGAGGAAAGAATTAAGCTAGGAAAGAAGGAAGGAAGGAACCCATTGAAGACATGGTTCGGGGAAATGGGGAGAAAAAATTGTTGCCAGTATGATTTTCTTAATGACGCAGCGTGTAGTGTGGTAGGAGGGAGACATTTGAGTGAGCACTCTTCTGCTTCTGATTAAGGAAGGCAACGGTAACAATAATGTAAATGGGAGGTGGGAGATGAATAAAGGGAATTAGAAGATAATCAGATATTATGCTGAGGAAAAGATTTTTAAAATAAAGTGCATTGATTTTTTTTTCTTGTGTTTATTGTAGAAAATTTAAAATAAAAATCCTCTGTAATCCCAATACTAACAAATAGCCACCATTAAAACTTGGTTTATATTCTACTGGACTTTAAATACATATGGAAAATATAAACGTGTATGTATTTTGAGTGCATCTATGTCTATATACAGACTTTTTTGAACACGGATCTCTACTTTATTCTTGTCTATACTTCTTTTTATTGTAATCATCCTGGTGACTCAGGACTCGAATGCTGTGTGGCTAATGACAAAAGCGGTGCTGACCGGACAGATGCAGAACCTGCTGAGGCTCCGTGGTCAAGTGCAAAGCCTTAATCAATTTTCCTTTTCCACAGAACATCCCTCCCTCGGAGCACTACGTGGGGCCAAATAGCTTTAAAAGTCTGGCTCAGGAGGCCGTGAGATTGGCAGACAGGTAAGCACTGTTAGCGGGGGCTCTGCTGCTTCACATCACTTCTGCAAGGCCAGACGTGAGAGCACTGCAGGGGTTCAGGCCCTACGGCGGCACAGTCCTGACCTCCAGGCTCCTTTGCATCCATCCCTCTGTCTTGAAGCCTTTTCTTAACCACCTGGCTTTTTGAGTGTATGTAGGTGGCCACTGGGCACCGTCGTTTGGCAGGAGCTGGGGGCTGGGGTGTTTCCTTCCCAGTTTTCTCTATGACTCACAATATGGCTTTGGTGTACATCAAATGGGACTCCTCGGGCCCCATGAAATGAATCAGCGCTTGGAAAAGAACAGTCCGCAGCTTTGAGGGACTCCCAGGCTCCCACACCGAGCCTGAGAACAAGTAGCAACGAGTCTTTGCTAGCCTGTGGGGCCAAGTCTGCAGAGCGGGGCGGACTTTCTCCCAAAAACTGGCTCTGTGAGGCCCCATGATAACAGGTAACTCCTTAGTTCTTGCCTGACTGTAAATCCAACTATGCTGAAGAAGTGTGCTTGGAACTCAGCAGGCTGGCAGGCAGGCTCTGTTAATCCCAGATGGCATTCGGCCAGCCAGAGGGGACTGGCTTGTGTTTTTGTAGCATGAGCTGCCTCCTGAGCTTGTTTTTATCACTTTCTAGAACCAGGACAAAAGCAATGTGAGGTACTTTTATTGACAGGCTTTGTCCCCCCTAGTGGAAGGCCCAGTTTAGAGTTGCAGCAAAAGTGAGTAAGGAGTTGGATCCTGAATGAAATAAGACCTCGGTTTTTGTTTTCCTGAAGAAAACAACTTATAAGTGCAATATTTCATCACCCTGACATGGCTTCCACAGTCTCCACTCCCCACCCCAGGCTTCTGATTATGCCCTAAATGGAAATGATCACCAAAACCTCTAAGACACGAGGCTACTTCCCCTGAACACTTTCCGCTTCTTACTAGTTCCTCTAATTCTTCCCTAATTGGGTCAATTCTGTTTGGCTTTTCTAGCCAAACCAGTTCCCTCATCCCTTCATTTAAATAAAAGGCCTAAAGGAAGCTCTTGCTGGGCAAACTCAAATTCTTTATTTTTAATTTTTTCAGCCATGTTGAGTCAGCCGGCAGCATGGGGCAACTGGCAAGGGAGACGGAAGGTTTTTCCAAACAAGCCCTGTCATTGGCGCACAAGGTTCTGCGGGAAGGAGGCGGAAGCAGCAGCTTGGACGGCTCTGTGGTGCAAGGGCTTGTGGGAAAGTACGTTTCAACAGGTCCTCATGTGACCTGTGTCATCTCCCTTCTCCCAGGGTGTAATGCAAACCACGTTGGAGGGGGGCCACGTGTCTTTAAAAATATATTAACAATAAGAGGGACCAGAGAATGCGAGTGTTACTTTGGGGGAAAGCAGATGCCTTTAAGTCTGGAAGAAGAATAAGTTGATTAATCTAAGTTTGTGTTTTGATTGAGAGGTTGCGTGCTCGGAGCTGTGGTCACCCTCTGTAGTGTTTGAAGGATGTGAGTAAACCCAGCTGGTGGCATGGAGGATATAAAAATAATATATTTATGTTATCAAGAATTGGGAAAGTTGACCCAACCTCTTTCAACTTGAAGGCTTGTATTTAGATCATGGAGAAGGACACATATCTGACACATAACCTCATTGGGTTCTTCTGATAATTCCGACCGCATACTTTTAAAGCAACAGGGTTCGTTTTTGCTTTTAATAAGAAGATGCATTCTCAAAGTCCTCCCCGCTCCCCACCCTCACCCCACAGATTGGAGAAAGCCAAGTCTCTAGCCCAGCAGCTGTCCAGGGAAGCCACTCAATCTGACATTGAAGCAGATAAGTCTTATCAGCACAGTCTGCGCCTTCTCCATTCGGTGTCTCAGTTTCAGGGAGTGAATGATCAGTCTTTGCAGGTAAGGGCACCTCACCTGTACGCTGATGTACACAAGAAGGGCCGTAATGCTTTCTTCTCTGGGAGTTCCATAATATCGTTCAATCATCCAGTTTTGTCTCCGTGTTGACCTTTCCTGCTTAGATTAGGAAGAGCATTTATCCTTTTCATGATGCATTTCCTTGTTCTCTAACCCCAATCTTGGTCTCTGCAAAGGCCTTGGCTCACATCCTGAACCTACTATTCGTGGATAAAAGTTTTATATCGCTCCCCTAGTTCTGGATACTGCTGAAACCCGTGGGAAATTATTATAGATAAAATTTGGTATTTACATTCGAGTCCAGTCTATAGCACTTCTCTATGAACAGCCACTCAGAAGACTTGTGTTTTTCTCACAAGTTTTGCATTGTTGCTGTCATCAATCCCAAACTTATTGGATTAAGAAGATTCAGCTTTCTACCGACAGCAAAAATCACTCACAGTGATTCCCACAAAAATGTTCCCATGTATATATTAACTAACACATAAAATAATAATTAAAAAAAACAAAAAACAGAAAACCTGTTTGAGGGTGGTGGGACGGGTGGAAAGGGGATTAAGAAGTACAAACTTCTAGGTATAAAATAAGTCACAAGGATGTATGTACAGCATAGGGAATAGTGTCAACAATATCATAATAGCGATGTATGGTGACAGCTGATTACTAGACTTATGGTGATAACCTTGTAAGGTATATAAATGTTGACTTACTATGCTGTACACCAGAAACTAGTGTAATATTGTATGTCAACTATAATTTAAAATAAATTTGAAAAAGTAAAACACCTGTTTGATGCCTGGGGGACCTGCTGCCTGACTTTCCTACGGCATAGTGCCTCATTTCTGTTAGACTTTAGGTCTGGATTATTGTTGTTTTGTTGACAACAATGTTGTCAGGTCCTAAGAAGGCTGGTGTGGTGACTGGAGAGCAAAAAGTCATGTTTCTTTGGGCTCACAGGTAGAAGCAAAGAGGATCAAACAAAAAGCTGATTCTCTCTCAAGCCTGGTGACTAAACATATGGATGAGTTCAAACGCACGCAAAGCAACCTGGGAAACTGGGAAGAGAAAACCCGGCAGCTCTTACAGAATGGAAAGGATGGGATACAGGTATCCTTTGGTTAATTGATTCACTCAACAAACATATATTGAATGCCTATCATGTGAATAAATATAGCAAGAAGAACCAGTGAATACTCTCTAAAGGTTATGGTTCCACTGCTTGTAGAGGAAGTGAGTGAGCTACAGAGACCTTGATGTAATTTCCTCAGCTCCACCCACTGAGTCAGCCCTCCAACCTAGGAATAGGACTCAGGCCCCCCACGGGTCCAATTTTGGTCTAGCTCTATCTGCTAGCTTGGCTTCCAGAAATCTCTAGAGTTTGAAATTATGGTTTGCCAAACTATTCTTGTCCCTGGTAGTAGACTAGAATTTGAAACTGTTCTCTATATGGGATCCTTTGGGTCACCGGGTTATAAAGTTTGCTCTCTCCCAGGTTTGCTGTAGAACCCATAGACTCTTGGGTGAATCATAGCACTCTGTGGTCATGAAGAAAAATAAGTCAGAGTGAGTTTGCTGGCAGGAATGCACTTCCCGAGTGTCTGTTATATTTACTCTAATCTTGTTCTATCTGCCTATTTACAGAAATCAGGTCAATTGCTTTCCCGTGCCAACCTTGCTAAAAGCAGAGCTCAAGAAGCACTAAGTATGGGCAATGCCACTTTTTATGAAGTTGAGAACATCTTAAAGAACCTCAGAGGTGAGTGTTTCATGGTTCGGCTCACTTGAGTATTTTAAAGGTATAACTACAACTTTGGTTTATTTTGATTCCTCATAGATCTAAGTGATAGGTACATTGGGGTATTAATACATGCTTAAAAAGTACTTTATAAAGAAAAATTTCATTAATATTTGATGTTCTGCAAAGAACTGAACTAGATGTCAGAAGGCTTGAGTTCTGACCTCTGCTGGGCCACATGACCAGGTTGAGCTGGCTGTGTCACCATAGGCGAGTCACATAGCCTTTCCAGACCTTAATTTTCTGCTCTTTAAAGGAAGAAGGTTGAACTAAGTGATCTTTAAGGTCCCTCACAGATCCAGCATCCCATTACCATACGGATATTTTTCCTTTTGCTTTTGGGTAGTCTAGTTGGGTCCAATATAGAATCAATGAGGTTGCTTTGCGGTGATGATGGAGTAAGCTTTGTCACAGCATCCAGACCCCAGGAAAGTTGGATTTGCACCTTGTACAGATTTGACTGAAGTTTCAGGCTTCTTCACAAAAGAATGAAAAAGAAACATCCCTAAACCCTTGGGATTTTCTTCACAGAAGGTACCTCTGCACACTCCATCCTACCATCAACTACTGTCATTGGCAGCTTAGTGTTAAAGGCTCCGGCTTGAAACTTTGGGCTTCAAAGATTCCACCTGCTTCTGATTAACTTTAGGGTCTTAAGTTAATCCTTTAAGATAAGAACGAGTAATAGCCACCACTTCCCACACTCCCATTCCCAGGCTGTAATAACACTCTGGAGTTTTTCTTAACAACCTCAGCAGCTGCTTTCATCATTCTTTGTAAGTTAGCTATGAAAGTTAGTTTTCATCTTCATGGCAATGTTTTCTTATCTTCATTTCAGAGTTTGACCTGCAGGTTGAAGACAGAAAAGCAGAAGCTGAAGAGGCCATGAAGAGACTCTCCTCCATCACCCAGAAGGTGGCAGATGCCAGTGACAAGACCAGGCAAGCAGAGGCGGCCCTGGGCGGAGCTTCTGCTGACGCCCAGGGGGCAAAAAATGCTGCCAGGGAGGCCCTGGAGATCACCGGCAAGATAGAACAGGTAAAGGGACATCGAGATGCAGGTTGGCACGAGCAGCTCCAAACGCAAGGGTGATATGGAATGAAAGAGCATTGGGGTCATTTCGACCCATAGGGCCCAGGGTCCTGTTGTGGTCCATGGTGGCCCCGGATCCACTTGGGCACCCCTTTTGTTGATTGAGTCACAGGGCCATCATTGACTGAGTGCTAGAACGCCCCATTTTCAGCTCCCTTTTTGGACAACACCATGATTAGAACCATCTAAGACTGTTTTGTTTTGTTTTTAATATATTGACTATCGTATTCATTTTCTAGTGCTGCTATAACAAAGTACCGCGAGCTGGATGGCTTAAAACAACAGAAATTTATTCTCCCATAGTTCTGGAGGTTGGATGTCTAGATGCCAGCCGAGGCTCTGGGTAGAAACATTCCTAGCTCCTGGTGGTGACCATCAATCCTTAGAATTCCTGGGTTTGCAGCAGCATCACTCCGTCTCTGCCTGTCGTCACATGGGGTCCTTCTCCCTGGGTGTCTCCAACTCTTCTTATAAGGACCCCAGTCACGCTGGATTAGCGGCCCACCCTACTTTAGTATGACCTTACTTTAATTACATCTACAACAACCTTATATCCAAATAAAGTCACATTGTGAGGTAGTGGGGGCAGGACCTCAACCTATGAGTTGGGGCAGCGGGGGGGGGGGGGGGGGGGGGACACAATTCAGCTCCTAAGAACTATCATCAATGTTTTGCTTCAAGGTTATGAAATTGTGGCGTTCTAGGTCCCTCGTCCCTATGTTCTATGGCAAAGCTCCACTGATTCATTTTTCCCTTTTCTTCTGCCATGGGCCAGCCCTGTGCTTGGTGCTGAGGATATGGAAATGAGAAATGCTCTCCCAGGAGCGTTCAGTGTAATGGGGAGAGGCAGGCTAGTCACACTTACAGCCCCTATGTTAAATGCTCCATGAGAAGGAGTGCTTCTCAGATGGGAGAGAGCTTCGTAGTCCTTACCTAAGCATGGCTTCTGGAAAGCTTGTGCAACTCTGGAAAACCCAGAGGGAACTGGGTTTGAGGTCTGGGCTGCTTGGCATCACTCTTGGACCACTTGGTAACTCATCAAAATCATCCCTAGTTTTAGGTTCCTTGAGAGTAGAGGCCAATTTCATGTGCCTCCCAGAAGCATTTATATGGCTTCTGGCACAGAGACATCTGTCATTTGGTGCTTAATAATAGCGATTGATAAAGATATTGAGAAGATTTGTTCTAATGAAAACCAAAGTCCAAGCTGTAGCCCATTCATTCTCTGCACCCCAAACTCAACTGTCTGAGGAAGTAAAGTCATTCAAGAGGCTGTGGCAGCAAAGAAACATGACAGAGAATGAGATGAGTTTCTCAACCCCTGGGTTTCCCCAACTGGTCCCTATTGTGTTCACTTGGTGAACTTGACCTGAGAGGAAAGCAATGTCTCACTGCTGACCCTCCTAGTCCCCAGAGACATAACCCCATACAGAGTGTGGGGAAGGGTGTGTCCCCAAATCTGACTGTCCCCTTGTTCATCTAACTTAGTCCATCAGGGCCTGGCTGCAGCTGTATTTTTTCTGCAGTTGTCTTTGGAATGTTTATGTGCCTCACCCCTCACTCTTCTTCCGTCCCTGGCTCCTTGTCTTCTCCCAGGAGATCGGGAGCCTGAACTTGGAAGCCAATGTGACAGCAGATGGAGCCTTGGCCATGGAGAAGGGACTGGCCGGTCTGAAGAGTGAGATGAGGGAAGTGGAAGGAGAACTGGCAAGGAAGGAGCAGGCGTTTGACACAGATGAGGACGCGGTGCAGATGGTGAGTTCTGTTGCTCTGCACAGGAAACCCCTGTAAACTTGCCATTGTGGGAAATGCCCTTTCAAGATGAGTTTGTATTTATGTTTCCTCAGGTAATTACGGAAGCCCAAAGAGTTGACAACAGAGCAAAGAATGCTGGAGTTACGATCCAAGACACACTCAATGCATTGGACAGCATCCTGCACCTAATAGGTATGCAGAGTACCCACCCACCGCAATCCAGCCCCATACGCCAGGGCGTCTCTCAAAAGACTAACTAGACCTAGCCCTGATGAAGGGGAATCTCAATTCTTTTTAGGGGTATCAGGAAGTTCGCTTTGTTTCCAGGCCCAGACACTTCAGACAGGACTCTATTTTTCCATCTCTAGGATTGGTCCCTGAGCACCAGTTGCCCTTGGAGGTGAAAGTCTGTAGGTCAAAGAGCTGGGTGCATTTAGGGAAGTATATTGAGGCTCAGAGGTGTCAATAATGTCCCACAGATCACAAAGTAAGTTGTGAATTTGAACTTCACAGCTAAAGAGAACCCTGGACAGCTTGACAGTCCTGCGAAGGATTTTAGTCTTGATTCTGAGGAGCTAGTAGACAGCTGTAAGCAGAGAAATAGCATCATCACCATCTATTTCAGAAAGACCATGGGGCGGCTGCATAGAGGAGAGCTTGAAGGCGGGTTAGGTAAAAGGCAGGGCGAGACAGACCACTTAGGAAGTAATTTGCAGAAAGAGATGAGGGCGCTGCCAGGAGGCAGTAAAGGTGGTGAGGGGGGAGACTCTCCCAGCCTGGGATGCCAAGAATCACTTGTTGATTCTGCTCTTAGTCCCGCCCCAAACCACAGTTATACTTTGATGTAACCAGTTGTGGAAACTTGAGCTGCCTGATAGTTTACCCAGAAGGAATGGGAAGGTGGTAGGCCCATGAGATATTACAAAATTGTAGGAGAAAATAGATTTGATGGCACAGGGTGGCAGCAGCTCAGGTGTCCCCACAGAATCCCTCCGAAAAGAAAGCTGATTTGAATTATAGTTCTGGATGCAGGTAGAACTGATGGCAGAGCCTCATGTGGCCCGTTTGATCGGGCTTGGACTGCAGCGGACAGTGGACTCAGGGTTTGGTCATGACTCCAGCAGCATTCAGGAAAAGGCTTGGTTCTGCGTTTTCAGTTCAGCAGAGCGATGTTAAAACCTGATTTTTCATGTGATGGTTGTCATCATCACCCTGAGAGACCAATATTGTTTGTCTTGTTATACTAATGGGTCTGCTTTGGGATCCAATGAGCCCCAAAGAGTAAAATACCCTCTAAGGGTAAAAAAATACTCCCCAGTTGAGATTTTAACAGCTTTGTTTAGTGTTCTGAAAAAGGTAATGACACCAGTAGGGGCTTTAAAGAGAAAATGAAAGAATGGGGAGAGCAGGGTAGATGGGAACTATTAAACAATGACTATGTGCCAGGCACGATGCCAGGTGTGTTCATGGTGTAATGTCATCTAAGCATTTTTAAAGTCCTATGAGTTGTGTTTTATGAATTTATTTCACAGAGGAGTAAACTGAGGCTCAGGGAGGTTAATAATGTCTCACAGATCACACAGTAAATTGTGGAGGCAGGATTCTGGTGGAGGTCTCTCTGTCTCCAGGGTTCCTGCTGCTTTGGAATAGCCCATGCTGCCTCCCCAGGAACGTGGCTATCTTGTCCCCAAGTTTCTTTAACTTCCTCTGCATGTCATAGGCCCCTAAATTCTTGAATTCTGCCCTGCCCCCCACCCCCACCCGCCGTGAAGGACTGAGCCATTAGATCAACATTTTTGTTATGGTGTTGTTTCTACTCTGTTTGCCCTCTTCAGTCCTGAAACAATAACAGTTTAATCACTCCAGGTATAATAAACCCATGCAATCAAATGGCATCTCTCAGCTTAGATATGTGAGGCAACCTGCCCTTGAGTTTGAATTGACTGAGGGACGCTCACACCTGTATAAACTAAATGGGTCTGGTCAGGTGCCCTTCATCCTGACGTCAGTTTTATATCGTGTATGGGTGAAGTATACCTGAACAAATGTGACCACATTTCATGTTGGAAATAAACTAATAGCTAGCTAGATTCCCACTGTTTCCAGCCAGAATGAAATCTTGCATCATTTCCTCACAGCTGGAATCCATTTGCCAAATAGCACAGCATACCTTGGCCTCTGTAAAACCTAAAGGCTAGCCAGTTGCTAAAGGTCTTTCAATGGCCAACAGCAAGATATTGCCTAAGGGTGCTTTGGAAAGCATCGTTTGGGATTGATTCTGATCCCAGTGAGCTGTGATGGGCAGACACCTCGGACAATACTCAATCCCCTACAACCTCCAGCCTTTATGTTTTGAGAGCATAAATGTGGACCTTACCTGAAAGGAGAAAGCCCAGCTTCACATCACTTCACACAGCTCAGGGGCTCGCCCTGGGCTGTTCACAACACAATAACTAGGCTAGTGCTCTCAGAATTTTTTCTAGCTTACGTCTCCTTTAAAAGAAGCCTTTTAAAAATGCACGGCATGCCCTTTGCTCTGGGCAGATAGAAACAGGAATTAGTGTAGGGCCCAGAAGGGCCCACGTGTGTTGAAGGAGATCTCACCACAGCTCATCCCTATTAACGCCTTTCTCATTCTTCGAACTAGGCCAGCCTGGCAGTGTGGACGAAGAGGGGCTTGTCTTACTGGAGCAGAAGCTTTCCCGAGCGAAGACCCAGATCAACAGCCAGCTGCGGCCCTTGATGTCAGAGCTGGAAGAGAGGGCACGTCAGCAGAAGGGCCACCTCCATATGCTGGAGATGAACATAGATGGGATCCTGGCTGATGTAAAGAACTTGGAGAACATCAGGGACAACCTGCCCCCAGGTTGCTACAACACCCAGGCTCTGGAGCAACACTGAAACTGCCATGAAGATTTGCTCAACTGGGGATCTTGGGATACAGGCCTCAGGGCTCAGGAGCCATCTCATGTGGGGGAGGGGGGCCGGGGACATTGGAACATGTTGAATAGGTCAGCTGAACCTGATCCCATCCCTGAGACCTTGGCCAGAGAAATGTCTTAATGCACCAATGTGATACCATTTGCTTCCTGATGCTGGGCAATGAGGCAAATAGCATTGAGTATGACAGATCAAGGGTCTGGACCCCAAAGGGTAGGCTGGATGGAAGGACAAACTGTACAGGCAGATGTTTGCCTCATAATAGTCATAAACCGAGTCCTGGAGTATGGACAAAGGCTGCTGCGTTAGACTCAGCTCATTCTTTGCATAATGTGACCAAAGGACAAATTCTTTTGACTGTGCTCACGCATAAAATTCTTCCTAATGTCAGGACAGAAAGTGAAGTCCCATCGTTACTATGGCCAGTGAAATACTTTTGCCTCATAGCGTCCAGTGCTCTTGTTGATCAGAGTTCCTTCCACTGACCATCCGGTACATAAGCACCTACTCCATTTTCAAGCGGGAAGAAGTGAGCAGTGATGGACTGAGGGGCTGTGAGGCTGGCCCATTTGGAGCAATGGTGCCTGCTGGTTCCCTGCTGGTTCCCTGCTGCCATCGAGTTCTTCTGGGCCTGGGAATTACATCCTTTCCCCTGATGGTTCCCCGGCCTCATCCTAAGAGCCTCTCCTACCAGCAAAGCACACATTGGGAAGGTGTTTACTTTGGGGTTTCAAAGTGGTAGAAAAATGTAGTTTGGGCATTGACAGAAGTACAATTATCTAGCAGATTTATGAGTCTGAATTCAATCCCACTTTTCGAACATTAAAAATTCTATCACCTATGTGTTTTATCTCATTCTCTCCCTAAAGCAGACAATGTTCTTACCCACACTTGAGCTTGTTATAATCCATCCTTCCATTCATCCATCCTTCCATCCACCCATCCTTTCAACACATATTTATTGAGTACCTACTGTGTGCCAGGGGCTGGGGTACAGTGGTGACATAGTCTCTGCCCTCATAGAGTTGATCGTCTGGTGAGGAAGACAAACATTACAAAAATAAATTTAAACTTACAAATCTTGTTTATCCCAAGTGGTGTTTATTGCAATAAACCCTTGGTTTGCAACCTCTTTTCTCAACAGAAAATGTTGCAAGATGCTCCCATGGGGACACTCGGGTTTTGGCAAAGCTGAGATGGCTCTGGTGCACATATCCTTGCATTCCAGCTGTCACTCGGCTCCTTTCCACAACTAATTGCAACAGACTGAGTCATGATAACACCCGTGGGAATTGCTGGAAACCCCAGAGTTACTTCCACCTCAGCTAGGAAGACGTGTACTGCCTAACCTCTGTATTTCCTTGGCTTTTCATGGACGTGTATTAAATAAAGAACAACTCTTAGATGCCTGTGGTCAGTTTCTAATTTATTAAACTCTAAGCTTAAATGGGGGTACCAAAGCAAAGGTAACTAAAATGCCACAGAAAGAGCAATGAGTCCTAGAGTTAGCATCCTTCATTTCTTTTTTTGAGCATCTCGTTTGGCCCTTTCTAACCATGAGGGCACTTTATGAGATTTAACTGGTGCCATACCCTAAGCATGAAGCAAGATTTATTTCTGGAAAAAACCTGAGCAGCCTAGGGGTTATATGAATATTTTTTTTGGTCAGTTTTTCATCAGCTATAAAATAAAGGTAAAATCAATAGTCTGTGGCACATTGTCCATGCCTCTTAATAAATTAAAATTTAGTAAATTAAGATCCTGAACTGGCTATCTACCTAAGTGGCCGAGGAAAGGATTCGACCTCTGTCCGCATTGACCCCCCCAAATCCTGACAGGTCTGATCACTTTGCTTTACCTTCTGTGGAAGTGAATTTGTAATCCTCTTGACATACTCAATCACATATTCCACAAATCTCTTGCTGTAATTAACAACCATGCCCAGAAAATTTTGTGTATTGATTTGATTAACTAGCATATCATGTAGATCTAAAAATGTGCATAACGCAAACACAATAGACTGTTTTTTCTTGCTCCCATACCATGCTAGATGGGGAGAAAGCTGACAGGGTGGCCTTCCACGTAGTCATTCAGGTGGCCCTGCCGTTTACAACATGGGACTTTTAAGGTTACCCTGGCAATCATCTCAATTCCAGGGGGTGGAGAGGGATAAAGACATGGAATAGGAAGATATAGGGAAGGTTTCTGTGGGCCAGGCCTGAGAGGGGCTGTACATCCTTCTCTCTCATATTTCATGGTCTAAAACCCAGTATTATGACCACATCTAACTTGCAAGGGGTCTGGGAAGTGTAGTCACTTGGTAGGAAGCCACTTCTCAGTGACAACTCTACACTATGAAAGGGGAGAATGCATCATTAGTGCTTGGCTATCTGTGTCCGCTGAGTATAGGGTTAGGCTGTACATAGTCTAGGGAACTTAGTGAGGGACCCCATTACTTAATAACCAAGGTACATGCAATCGTAAAAGGACTCCTCAATGGGATAGATGGTTAAATTTATAGACTGTTTTCCCTGACGAATGGGAGATGATCTCTGAGAAGACATGGAGACTGGGAAAGTGACTCATGTGACTCCCTTGATATAGAAATGATTCCTTCATTTCTGAGGTTCTGACAAGTTGTCCCTAAAAAGAGAAAGAGGCATGTGACTTAATGATAGCCTGTCCAGGACTTAGCCTCTGTTACCAGTCTTGACTTGACCGTGCCACATTAAGGGAGCTTTCCTTCTGATTTCTCATCAGGATTTATAATTTGTAGTGAAAACTTTCTTACACTCCTCCTCTGAGAGTTTTCTGATTAACTGTGCCACTGGTAGGCGATTACACATATCATCGTCCACTTTGACTCATGGGGATTTCTCTCTGGAGACAGGGGGTAGAAATGAAACTGCCCATCAACTATAGTTTCTTAACAGATGTATTTCTGATCTTTTTCCAGGATGTGGTTTCCTTTCAGTGCTCTTGGGAGGCTGGAGAAAAGGGTAAGAAGATACTCAGTAATGTCCAATGTTTGGAACAAGTCTCAAGGACCAGTGCGATGTGTTTATCGTGTCTTCTTTTAATGTTTTGCACAGTCATGGGAATGTTATGGATTCTTGCTGTGGTTCAGTTTTCCTACCTGGAAAGCAGAGACTAGATATTTTTCTTTGCTTTCTTTATGTTGTGGGCTGCACAGAACTTCCTAGGAAATTCCAAGACCTGAAGCTTACTTATGGGTCGTAAGAGAAGAACTGTGTATGTCCGTGTATGTTCATTCATATGTAGTATATATATTTTATAAGTTAGTGAAAGTTAGCATATTAAACCAGTGTTTATACCTTATTTTAAACAAGGCCTCATCATTATGTAATGTCAGGACAGAGAAAAAAAATGTGTTTAGCTTTTTGACCAAAATAGCAAACATAAGTACAAGTCATCAATTTACAAGGCATATCAAGCATCATGAACCTGTGCCCCCAAACCCACATGGATATACACGAAGCCAACTAATCTCAATCTTAAACAAACAAACAAAAATACTAAGAACTAAAATGATTTTTTTTTAAAAAACCACATCTACCAAGTAGTTAAGCCTTAAATGAGCTGGCCTCAGGAAATTGCTATGTCACCTTCTGAATCACGACTGATATTAGCTAATGACAATCACCATTTAGACGTAAACCAAAACATAACGTACATCACAACTAAAACTGAAATAAGAACCAAGAGTCACAGCAGGATTGAACAATTAACAAATTATTCTTTTTTTTTTTTGCTTTTTTACATTGCCAAAACAAAGTGTGAGTTGAACAATTTCTGTCTTAAAATCTTTTAAGCCCAAAAGTGAGTTATTTGAGTTTTTAATTTTAAGAAATATATTTTTATTTCATAAACAATTAATTTCATTAAGAAGCCAAAGCTAACCAAGACCAGACTATGCAGATTTGGTAGGATCTAAAATTTGATTTTTTTGTTAACTGAGAAAGTTTGGCGATAATTCACAAAATCGCTAAATATTCTTCCTTGTTTATGATCCTTGGGTGTGGTTGTATATACTTTCATATTACATATGTCCCATCAGCTGAACCAGGCAGAAAAACCTCCTGCCCTAAGAACTTTTTTTACGACTGTTGGCTCCTGTCAAATAAGAGTATGAAGAAAAAGTGATTAATTCTGCAACTACAGAGAAGGTTCTAGACCAAAATACGAGACTAGTAGCATTGTCTTGTTTATTAACATAATTGAAATATTTCATCGATAAAACTTTTGTCCATGACTACCCTAAGCAAGACTCAAAATATTTCACTGTGAAATGGTGTTGCGACTTGAATGTAGTTTTTATTGAGTTGGTTTCCATAAAGCAAATCTTACTCTTAAAATGGTAGATTCAGTAACCAAAAAAGTGATTCAAAGAAAGCTTCCCCCTCCCCATGCCAATCCTTGAGACAGCCTGGATCACACTGAATTCTGGGCTCTGGGACCGAAGGAGGCAAAGAGTGTAACTCATTCCTAACGAACCAGAGCGGGCTAATAGGACACTCCAAACTCCCATGACAAAGAAACCAGGTGAAGAGTTGAATTCACTGAGCAGCTATAGGAAGGTGCAGACTGGATGAATTTGACAGCATCTTCATCATCGCTACCACAATGCTATTTCTAAGGTGTCCTAATTGGATGAGCTACAAAATTGGTCCATTTCCATCCTTCCCGTCTCCCGTCAGCCCTCCTGCGGTGGTCTTGGGAGAGATCCTGAGCTTTTCATATTCTGCTCATTTACTTTTGCATTACTCTTTTGATGAATAAAATATAACATGCTTCTCTTAGTCCCCAAAAGTGTGTAAGAGAGAGAGAGAGAGAGAGAGAGAGAGAGAGAGAGAGAGAGAGAGAGAGTGTGTGTGTGTGTGTGTGTGTGTAGTTTGGGAGAATAGATTTGGGCTGTTAAAACACACGTCGTTTCTCCCTGTAATTCTCTGTCTTTTGCTGTAGATTGATGACTGAGTCTCGCTTTCTCCTTAATTAGAACAGCAAGTTCTTTTATCCTTTTTGAGAAGTGGGGGCATGAGACTAGATAACGCTGGGGAAAGGTAGGCCAATCTGAGACAGGAAGAACAGTGTCTCTAGAAGCTCTAGCTCTGGGTTTCAGGCACTTCAGTAAGAGACTTCCTTCCCTTGCTTCCATGTACATTCAAGGTAAGTGAAAGCAAGGACGCAGAGGCTGCCTGGGGTTGGCATGGGGGCTGGAGAATGAGGTACCCGCTAATAGCACAGACCGCCCCCTCTCCCCCCTCACTCAGGGCCATTCCTTGAGGAGGCAGTCCTTGACACAAAGGGTTTCCCTCCTGACTGTTCTTACTCACATCAGCTACTTCCAGAAAAATGGGAGGGACACTTTTGATTGACAGGCAAAAAATGCGGCTCCAGACCGTTCTTGACACAATCATTGCAGGCCATGCCTTTCTCACACTCTCTGAGCCATGCCAGCCTTGGGCTGGCCTGTGTGGGAAGGAGCAGGACCCCAGCAGGAAAGTCATGGCCCAGAGGTCAGCCTGTTGGCATCTGGGGCACTACTTCAAACTGCGTCATCTTTCTGATGTTGACCTTGGCTGGATCACAGCACAATGTTCTGCCTAGCACTGAGAGAGGGGCTCTGACCTCCCCCTAACAAATGAAGAGTGGGGGCAGGGCAGGGAATGGACAATTCTACCCAAAAGGGGATTCACTTTTCCTTGTATTAAAGAAAAGCGATTGTAACACGGTCCCTGTGATCCACCAAGAGAGGATCTGCCCCTTTTCGTTCCTAGAAATCAACTTCTGTTGCCCCTGTTCTTATCCTTAGGTCATCTTGTCCCTCTTTCTACAGGCCTTCCTGCCCCCACAGAGTACATGGAGACATCCCCGCTCTCTCTCATGGGTTGTGGACTAGATGGGGTTTGACCAGAGTCCAGCAGAGTAACAGAGTGGACCAAAGGGATTAAAGATACCTTGTCTTTCTCGGATCTGCTCATATGGATCCTCATAATAAACTCCATCCAGGAACTCCATATGCTTGAGAATGTCGCGTCCCCCACGGAACGCAGCCCTGTTTCCCTTTGTTTCACCTGCTGACTTGCAACTGTTTTGCCCAGACAAAGGCCCTTCTGTCTTTCTCTCTCCAGCACTAATGACATCTTCAGCATTCTGGGTCTTTCTTAGCCCTCCACAAAGCAATCCTTTCTTGGATTCAGAGGGACACTTTCTGGGAATTCCTCCAAGCTGCTGAGATTTCTTGATTTCTAAGGGAAATTTAGCTTTGGCCTTCCTCACCATCACATTCTCCCCAGGATGGGCACATACAAAGCCATAAATAGGGAGTACCGGGGTCAGACATATTTAAGAGAAAGATGCCAGGTAAAGGCTGAGAAGCATAGAAACCACATATTACCTGGTCAGTGCCATGGGAACCAAAGGGGCACGGCCATGTGGTGTGATGACCTATGGTCAGAGTCTATACTTGCTATCTGAACTTGGACCAGCCATTTAATTCAGTGGATATCTGCTCCCTCATCTTTTTAAAGGAGAGTGTTAGATCAATCTCTCAAGTTCTTTTCATTTATGATTCCATGATTCTTAGTCAAACACCGAGACCCAAGAATAGGATCTTCCTTCCCTCCTCTGGAGATCATTTCTCTAACCCAAGAGGTATCGCACCCTCCTGGATGCTACTCTACCACGCTCTTCTGTTGAACCCTGTTCCTTTCCCTAGAAGCTACTGATGCTGCAGATGTGAAGTGTGTGGAGAAGACCACTGTTCCTGGTGACAGATCTCACCCAGCCCCTCCTGGACCAGAGCTGGTACTAGATTCTGATAAAATTATCCTGCTGCTCAGGGACCATTCCTCAAAGACATCCGGAAATCCAAGAGCCAGAGGCTGGATGAGAGATACAGAGCACACGAGAATAATTTCCTTTTGGCTCTCCAGCAGCACATGCATGGGCCTGAACAGCTAGCACAGTCTGTCAATACTGTTTAGGGACAGCAGAGGAAGGTGGGAAATTAGGGAGAAAAGGAGAGAAACAATTTAGTGGCTCTTGATGCCCCTCTGATGTCTGTTCTGTGAATCCACTCCCCTTCTGGCCAGATTTCCTCAGACAATAACCATGGTTGCTGGGTTAGGCAGGAGATAGGACCAACCCCAGAAACAAGGCTGAGACACTGCTTCTCAAGAAGGAACTGAGCTCAGGCGCTGCCCATGTTACAGTTGGAGTGGGTGAGAATCATCAGTTCCCATCAGGGCAATAAATTGCTTTCTCCTAGGTCATCTGGACTTACATTATGACAGAGACATTTCCCAGACAAACAGGCAATAAATAATTGCAATTAGCAAAGGTCTCTAGGGGTGAGTGAATTCCTAGCGTGTCTTATATCAGAAATGAGTGCATTATGAGAATTTGGCCTTGCATGTGTGACTTTTCCCAGATGCAGAAATGTGGCTAAGTGTGGCCTCCAGTGGCTTGGATGGTGATCTAAAGGACCCTTGGAAGTAACTGGGCTGGCAGGAAACCTACACTCTGCCATCAGTCACAACCCAAATAAGTAACTGTTCAGATGCCACCAGGAAACGGGGATGGACTGACTCTGTGTGAGCATAGGCCCAGAGCCTCAGGAAAATGGTCTTTCAAAACTAAGGAAATGGACTCAGATTCTTCTAAGAAACCCTACTATTTCCAGACTTGCCTCCCAGGTTTCAGAACTTGAAAGCCTCACTCCTGACCCCAGAATGGTGCTACCGCTGTGTGGGGAGGCAGAGAGTGAGTAGGTAGGTGGGTGGGGGGGTGTCGGGAAAGTGAAGGTGGCTTGACCTTCATTACTGGGTGTGGCCCTCACGCACTTACTGAGTGCTGGTGCTGGCTACAATATCCTATCAAAGGGAAGTATTTCCACAGGAATGCATCAAGACTACAAACAAAGAGCTACAGACACGGATTCATCCAAGTTCTATGAGGAGTGAACAACAACAATAAAAAACAAAACAAAAATGAAAGAGAGAGAAAGAAAAGAAGAGAAAGGAAAATAGCCCTTTGTGGTAAAGGGCATGCTGGGAAGGCAAGAGCCAGAGCCGCCTCCCCAGAGCATGCTGGGAGGATGGGCACCAGAGCCGCTCTCTAGAGCATGCTGGGAGATGGACACCAGCACATGTCCAAGGACTGCACTTCCCCCAACTCCCACCCCTATTCCCTCACCCACCCCCAACCTGGAGCCTAGAGGAAAGTTGGTCCAAAGATGACTGTGAAATAGGGGACACTGTGGTTCTCTGCAGGTCCCCCACACTCTGGCGGGTTGAGTCAGCGAAGGGGAGAACAGTCATGATGAGGAGATGGAGAACAGAGAGGCGGGAGAGAAACAGGGGGACTGATAGAGGCTGGAGGGGCCAGTGTGTTGGCGGAGGACGAGGGGAGAGTGGAGCAGAGGCTGGGTGGCTGCTAGCCTGAGGCGTTGATGTACAGCTGGCTCTTGAGAATGTAGTCGATGACCGGCTGAGACAGGTAGTCCACGACGTGGCCATCCCCGTGCTGCAGGGCCAGCCTGGACGTGAAGAGATGGGAATCGGATAGACATCAGTCCCGGAAGCAGAGCAGGACTGGCCTGTCCACTCTCTTTCAGGGGAAGGGTTTACCCAATACCCCATCGCCAACCTTTGCTTAGGCTAAGTAAATGAAATCCCTATTAGGAAATGCCTTCTTGCCCCATCCTGGCTCTGCCACTTCCTAGCTGAGGGACCTTGGGCAAATAAATTAAGCCCATCTGTTCTTCAGTTTTCTCTTCTGTAAAATGAGTGTAATAGGTCAGTTATGAAAAGGATTAAATGAGTCATAAAAAGCACTTTGAATAGCCCAAGCACACAGTATGCATTTTAATGTGTTAGCTGTTCTCATCTCACTTCTTTGTGTTTCTCTACCCCCATGGTCTCATGAAAATGAATCTCACTGGGGTTCTTAGGATGGACCACTTCCTTTTCTTCCTACAGACACCTGATAGGGAAGCCAGTACTCTTCTCGGAGGCCCTTCTCACAAGCCATGGGGGTGGGGGGTTCTGTGGAGGGAAAGCACCAACAGGTACGAAAGGACTCCAGTGATTCACTTTGGTTTCTGCACAGTTTTGCTCTAGCCTTGGTCTCGCTGCTTCCCATTCTCTACTCACATGGTGAGTCAAACGTACCTGCTCTTGGTTGAGCTGACAACAGACATGGGATGGTTGATGTCATCCTTCACCACCATGATGTTGTTCTGGGGAGAGAGCAGAGAGGGTGGGCTGCCAGCTCCTCACACTAAACTCCTTTTGCGCCCCCACTCCTCCAGCCCCCTAGGCCTCTCAGAGAAGGGCCACATCACAGAGCCCTGCCAGCAGGGACGTGGAGAACTCACTCTGTATTTGCGTAGTATTGAGGAGTGATTCATGATTCGGTCTGTGTCAGCTGCGTCCCGGGGCACCACCACGATCCCAAAGTCCCCAACAATTACCTCCATCTGAAGGAGAGAGAGAGAGAGAGAGAGAGAGAGAGAGAGAGAGAGGGCACCTTTTGTGAGATCATGACTCCAAACCTTTACCAAGCAACTGTTTAGCAGGGTGGAGCTACCTTCCACGTGGAACCGCCTTCTCAGCCCCATCAGTCAGTTCCTTCAAGTAACAACCCGTAACAGTGTCAAGGGCATGAGTGAGAACTTTGCCTGGCCTGGCACACAAAAGACACTTAATAAGTACCTCGCGGCTAAATGGATAAGCATGCTTCTGCATGTCTGGGCAAGATCTCTAATTCCTGAGGCTCCTGTTGAGCCTACAGTGCTAAAGAGGATCGTGAATGACGCACAGCCCTCACTGGCAGACAGCCTCGTGGGAGACACAGCGAGCAAACCCCAGCCCCCAGCTGGATGGCTGAGTGGAGCTGGAATGCTCCCCTGCTCATCCATTTCAAAGCTGCCGTGGGCCTCAGGCGCAGCAGAGTGGGAAGGGCTTGGATGTTTCAGTATGAGCAGAGACATGACAGGAGGAAGAGTATTACGAGGCCACTTCTGAGATCAGCCTCTGATAGGTGCTTGGTGCCACAATGAGAGATGATACCTTCTCATTTAAAACAAAATAAATAAGTTATATATTTTTTTTATTATAGACACAATGCAAGCTTGGGAAACTCAGAAAAAGAAATCAGTGACAACCACGCCATCCAGATAACCACTAATATAACTGTAGCATATTTCTGTCCAGTGTTTTCCTCTCTACAAATAAGTGTACATATCCATACTTGGGTTAAACTGAAAAATGAATCATTTTGTTTCACGTTAGCATTACATTGTGAGCATTTTCTCACATCATTAAAAATTATTTGAAAATAGTACGTTTTAATCATCTGTATTTCGTTGTCTGACTGTACTATTATAGCATAATATATTAAAGCAATCTTGTATTATATGTATATAGGAAGTGTACAGAACTTCTGATTTTTTGCAGTTATACATAACACTTCGTTGAAGAGCTTCATGCATAAATCTACCACATCTCTGATTATTTCCTTAGGATAGGAAGTAACATAATTAGATGAAAGGATATGAACTGGACATCTTTCAAGCTCTTGAGACATATTACCAAGCTGCTTTCTGGAAACTCATGCCAATTTTTATTTTCAAAGAGCCTGAAAGCGATGGCACTTAACAGACTTGGATCTATCCTGAGCATATTACTGTTAAGATCTTGCCAATTAAGGATCCCAGACGGTGGGGGGAATTGGGGAGGGTGGGGCAGGCTGCTTCTGAGAGTGCAGCTCTTTGAGCAAGACCAGCTCTGGCAGCAAGGGACCCAGGTTTTTCCTCATAATTCTCCAAATTAGTGACACAAACAGACATTATGGCCGCTGTGGACGCTGCTTCTCTATCAGAGGGTTTCTATACCAGTGGAATTCCACTTCTAAGTCTGATTCACTGATTCTGTTTGTGTGCATGCAGGTGTGAGCCTGTGCGTGCATGTGTGCATGTGAGTATGCACGTGTGTGCCCCGGGGTGTTTCCATCCACTTTACCCTACTTGTCCCATTGCTTACAACTGGAGCTGGAGTTGCAACTGGAACTCTGATGTTGCTGAAATAAAAAGTTGGCTGAAAGATGTCCTAGGAGGGAAGTTGTAGAGGGGAGTCAAAGGTATGCAGCAGGGCCTCACTTGGACTGGGTCATGTGGGAGATACAGAGCATCACACAACATGCTGCATCGATCAGCGGTGCTCTCAGATCAGTAAACAGGCACCGAGTGTTTGTCCCATAAACCAGTAATTTAGGGAGAGGCAGGGCAGGGAGGTGGAGGCAGATCCCTCTCCTCTTGACATATCTTTTAGATTACTGCCCTGGGGTTCACTACTCAGGTCACCTAAAAACACTGGTTCTCACACTTGGCTGTGAATTAGAATCACCTCAGGAGCTTTTACATTCCAAAGCCCAGCTCACACATAAAATCACTTAAATCAGCATTTCTGGGAATGGAACCCAGGCATCCACAGGTTTTTTCTATTCCCCACAGGTGACTGCAATATGCAACCACGCTTGAGAACCACGGGTCTGAGTAGAGTTAAAGCTCCAGGGAAATTGGTAGGGTAGAGAAAGAGAAGGGAAAAGAGAAGTAAAGGAAGGGGAGGGGAAGGAGGGGAGGGAAGGGGAGGGGAAGGAGGGGAGGGTTATCTGGTATAGACACTGTGATGCAGAAACTGCCTTCAATTTGATTCTGAGAACTTGATGGATGTTTCCTATACGATGCCTGAAATAATGGGGTTATTTAGAGAGAGCATTCTGGTTTAAAGCATGAAAACAATGGCTCAGAGTGGCAGTCAGGCCTCCTGGGGGGACTCGCCCTATGGGTGACATTAGTGCCGCTGCGTCTTCCCACTCAGGAACTAATGATCTGAGCACCCAATTGGTCACAGTGCCAGGCGGCTCGGAGGGTGGCAAGCAGATGGAGACCTTGCTGCTTGAGATGCTTTCCTTCACCAGAAGCAGGTAACGGGCCTGCCCCCTCAGAATCACAGATGGGGTGAGGGAGATGGGGTCTACAAGGTAAGACACAGCTTTATCACATCCAAGAGACATCGCTGCAGGAGTGTGGGCCAGAGGCTGGTAGACCTCTTCTCCTAAGGCAGCGGTTCGCAACCTGTGGGTCGCGACCCCTTTGGGGGTCGAACGACCGTTTCACAGGGGTCGCCTAAGACCACAGGAAAACAAAAAGATATTTACATTACGATTCATAACTAGCAAAATTACAGTTATAGAGTAGCAACGAAAATAATTTTATGGTTTGGGGGTCGCCACAACATGAGGAACTGGATTAAGGGGTCGCGGCATTAGGAAGGTTGAGAACCGCTGTCCTAGGGCGTGGGTTTAACTTTCATGCTGGAGGGTGTCTGTGTGTGCGTGTGTTTTGGAGTGGGGGGAGTGTGCCTTGGGTCCCATAGGTACGCACCTCCTCGGGGGGCTTAGCTGTCTTTCCCACCCCCACCCCCAATTCCATCTCCTAGTTTCACCCAGCCTCCAGGACACCACCCTTTCCCGGTTGTCCTCCCACCTCACCAGCTTTTCTTTTTTGGCCTCTCTCTGCTGGTTCTTCCTCATCTCCTTAACCTTGAACCACTGGAATCCCTCAGGCCTCAGTCCTTGGGCCTCTTTTGTTTCTATCTATATTTACACCCTTAATAATTTCATTTGATTTCAAAGCTTTAAAGACACCCTGAAGGCTCCCAAATTGATACCACCAGCATAAACTTCTCTCCTGAGCTCAGACTCATGTATCCAGTTGCCTTTTCAACATGCCCGTTTGGATGGGGCATCTCAAACTTAGTATATCCATGAACCCCTGAACCCTTTGACATCAATCACCCCCCTACCCCCTAATGTTTTTTCTATAGTGTTTCATTTCAGCAAATGGAAACTCTTTTTACAATTACTCAGGCCAAAGCCTTGGCATGTTCCTTGAGTCTTCTCTTTCTCTCACACCCCACATTCAATCTATGAGGTAACCCAATTGACTGTCTTCAAAACAAATCCAAGAATCTGCTCATTTTTCACTATTATCATCACTTCTATCCTGGTCCCAGTCTCGTTTGATAAGTTAGATAATGGCCCTCAAAGATATCCAGGTCCTAATCCTTGGATCCTATGAATGTAACCTTATATGGCAAAAGAGATTTTGCAGACATGATTGAGATGATCCTCAATAATCTCGGTGGGCCCTAATTCAATAACAAGTGTCCTTAGAAGAGGGAGGTTTAACAGGGGAGAGAGAAGGTGACATGAAGACAGAGCAGAGAGAGACTTGAAGATGTTACACTGTTGGCCTTGAAAATGGAAAAAGAGGCTATGAGCTAAAGAATGCAACAAAAGCAGCTCTAGAAGCTGGCAAAGGCGGGGCAGCACTCTCCCCTCGAGCGTCTGGAGGGAATCTGGCCTTGCCAGCAGCTTGGTTTGGGCCCAGTGAAACCCATTGTGGACTTCTGGCCTCCAGAAGTAACAGGGAATAAACTTGTGTGGTTTTTAGCATTAAGTTTGCAGCAACAGATAATGAATTCACCTCCATCCTCTCTCACTTGGATGGGTCTGGCCTCCTTGTTTTTCTCGAGCCTTTTTCACTCTGTTCAGCCAGACTGATAATGTTCAAAGAGGAGTCAAATTATGTTGCTCCTCGGCTCGAAACCCATCACTTAAATGTCATCTTCTTGGTGAGACCTTCTCTGGCCATGCTCTTTCAACTTGTGTCCCTGTGCACACAGACCCATGCCTTCCCCACACCCTCACAGTTCCTACCCTCTTCTGTGCTTCATATGCGTCCTAAGCACTTAACTCCATCTAACACCATGTATGAAGGTGACCTCCACAAGGGCATGGATTTTTGTGTTTTGTTCATCGCTGTGTCCCCAGGTGGAAAAAACCTGGCACAACCTAGGTGCTCATAGGTGCTGTGGAATAAGTGGATTCCTGCAGAATCTCCTCTGGCAGTTGTGATGGGCATTCGCTGACAAACTCTCCCTGTCTCAGGACATGCAGGAAAGCCCATCATGCCTAATGGAAGCTCTGGGAGACCCAAGGAAGTGACTCTATAGATAGACTTTCAGGTCCCTGTGACAAGCAAGGGTGATCTTGTTTCGCAAGTTCCCAGACTTTATCTGATTGGTCAGCAGAATCACCTGGGGAGCTTTGAAAACAAAACCAACCAAACAGATACCCCAGACCTCACACATGTCTATGGTGGGTCGGAGCTTCCCTACAAGCTCCTTATCCTTCTGATATGCACCCATCTTTGGGAAATTGTTGCTTTAAATCACAGTTGCCTAAGCTAATAGCCTGGCTTGGTTTGAGATGAGGTCAAGATGAGATACTCATGGGACGAGCACCTGAGGATATGCTCTCTGTGCCCTAGGGAGTGGGGATGGTTGGGGCAGACATCTATCCCCAGGAAACAAGGGTCACTCAGGCTCTCCCTGCCTGTGGAGCTGGCAGAGG